GGAACACTGAGGGTTAGAGTTGGGAAGGACCCATCCAAGGATCACATTGTGGGGGACTTGAGTGGGACTGAGGTGTGTCCAACACAACAGCCTCCACCCTGGTGGGAGCTGCCCCTCGATGAGGCCGAGCTCTGAGCATCTCCTTTCTGTCTGTGAAATGGAACTAATCGTGGTTTCCTCAATGAAGGGTTTAAAAAGATCCCAAGTGGGCAAACGTTTTGAAAATGAGCAAGAAAGAGGCATTTTGAAAGTTAATGAGAGTCAAGACTGATTTCTTGAGTGGTAACTGTGTTTTTGGTCTTACATTACCTGTATGTATTTTTAATTGTCGTAAAACACACATAACACAAAATTTACCATTTTAAAATGTGAGTTTAGTGGCATTAAGTACATTCACAGTGTTGTGCAGCTGCCACCATGATCTGGTTCCAGAACGTTTTTACGACCCCAAAAAGAAACCCTGTACCTATTAGCAGACACTCCCCAGACCTGGCACCCACCAGTTTGCTTTCTGTCCCCATGGATTGGCCTCTTCTGAACATTTCATATAAACTAGAGGCACGATGCACGAAATTCGTGCAAGGGGCTCAGCCCTCGCAATCCCAGCTGCCTAGGCCCTCGCAGCCCTGAGAGCGGCTTCATGGCCCCACCCACTGGTCGTTCTGGAAGGTTCCAGAAGGTCGTTTGGTGTCTGGTCTAATTAGCATATTAGCTCTTTATTATATAGGATGGGATCATGCAGTATTTGTCCTTTTGTGTCTGGCTCCTGCAATTTAGCATAATGTTTTCAAGGTTCATACACGTTGCAGCCTGTATCAGTACTCATTCCTTTTTATGGTTGAGTAATATTTGTGTACAACAGACCACATTTTGTTTATCCATTCAACCATTGATGGACGTTTGGGTTATTGGTATTAAATATTTACCAATTACATACTAACCACATCCACATGTTTATACTGCTTGTAGGAGGACCCAAGAGGACTGGCACTGGCAGGATTTTATTTATTATTATCACTTTCTCTATGATATCTTTATTTATTTTTAATATATTTTTATTGATTTCACAGAGGAAGGGAGAGGCAGAAAGAGATGGAAACATCAATGAAGAGAGAGAATCATTGATTGGCTGCCTCCTGCATGCTCCCCCTCCCCCTCCACCCCCCTGGGGATTGAGCCCACAACCCAGGCATGTACCCTAACTGGGAATTGAACCATAACCTTCTGGTTCATAGGTCAACACTCAACCACTGAGCCACGCCTGTTGGGCTATGGTATCATTATTTTATCCTCATTCTCAAAAATATTTTGTCTGGGTCCACAATGGATATTTTCTCTAAGTATATTGAAAATACGATGCCTTCAGTATTATAATGTTTTCTTTTTTATTATAGTTGACATACAATATTAGTTTCAGGCGTACGGCGTAATGACTCAACCTTTATATTCCTTACATTGTGATCACAATAAGCCTAGTAACATCTGTCACCAAGCAAGGTTGTTACCGCAATATTGACTCTTTCCTCTATGCTGTACACTAATCCCTGTGACTTACTTTAAACTGGAGGTTTGTACCTCTTATTCCCCTTTACATTTCTCCCCCACACCCTTCACCTCCCCTCTGGCAACCTGTTAGGGCTTCACAGAGAAGGCATCCGTGACTGAGAGAGGTGAAGTGACTGGCCCAGGGTCACAGGGCAGGGAGCTGGCAGAGGCAGGACCGGAAACCAGGCCTTTCTGACCCAAGACTCAAGCAGCAGTAACCAGGAATTCTCCCGTGGCTGCCAGGGTTCTGCATGACCCGGCGGGGACAGCGCCTCAGATCAAACTGGGGTGCCCACGGGAACATGAAGGATTGTTTTTTAAAAAATTATGCTGGGGTCCTCCCCTCAGATCCTTGAAGTCAGAATCTCTAGATCAATGGTTTTCAACCAGGGACATCCAGCCCTGCTCAGAGGCAGGTGTCCACAGGAAGGGGTGCTACTGGCACCTAGTGGGTGGAGGCCAGGGATGCTGCTCCACATCCTATGATGCACAGGGGGGCCCCCACCCACAGCATGATCCAGCCGGTGTTGGTGCCCAGGCTGAGAACTGGCTCTGGAACCAGGCCCGGGGGGTCAGCCTTGTTAAAGCTCCCCAGCTGACCCTGATGTGCAGCAGAGCCAAGCGCTGCTTCTCGAACTCGATGGGACCCGAGCACCACCTGTGTGCCTTGTTAAGCTGCAGATTTGGGCTTAATAGGCCTCGGGTGGGGCCGGGGTTCAGCCATTCTAACAGGCACCCCGCGGTGCCGGTGCTCCCGGGCCGCGCTTGGCGTTGCCAGTCTGCTGTACCGGTAAAGGCTACATTTTCCTGAAAAAAGATAGCTTTCCTTTGGGTAAGGAGAAGGGATGGGAAGGGCAAATCTGGCAAAGAGAGAATCAGTTGGTTGCTTGAAACTGTGAGGCTTGAGGGGAGCAGCAGCGAGGTTGCTTTAGGAAAAGGACTCGTCGTGTTCACAGTGATGCACTGTGGTTCACAGAGCAGCTGGCCGGCCAGCCTCCCGCCCCGCTCAGACCTCCTGGTCGTGGCCAGGCCCCGGCCTGGCTGGCTGAGAGCCCCTGGCCAGCTTGGCCAGTAGCAATGACTCAGGCTTTCCACCTGCAAATGGGGCAGATGGCTCTTACCACCTCTCCACCCATCCCTGGGGCCACAGCTCCCAGCGGTGGCCCCCACCCCAGACTCATCAAAGGCAGAACTTAAAAGCTGGGGCAATTTTTCCGGGCGATGTGGCTGCTGGTGTTTTCACTGCTGATACTAGTAAACCTCCGTTTGTAGCCGCTCAATTAGGAAGTCCTACAAAACGCGTATATTGAAAGAAAGGATTAATAACCCGGCCCATGTGGGAGACATTAGCTTCTGTGGACAGGCCTTTTGAATATATACTCCGAGCTGGCAGCCCCTGGAGCAGCACTTGGCCGGCCGGTCCCTGGGAGCGGAGAGCCTGGGCGGAGCGGGATGGGGAGACCGTCAGGGGATCACTGTGAGTCGTCGGGTTGCACTCTGAAAGGGAAGTGTCTGGGAGCGTCTGTCTGGTCCACAGCAGATTCCTTAGATGTTGCCAAGCGCATGGTGGCTCCCGAAGGAGCCGGTTCCAGCATAGCTCCGGGCAGAGGGCGGGGGTGCTCACCACCTGGAGGCTCAGGCCGGCCAGGAGGGGAGGGTTCGGCTTGGGCCTCGGGCCTCACACGGCTGCTGCCCCGGCTCCCGGATGGGGAGGTCCACGGGCCCCTGGCACGGAAAGGACTGGCCCTCCGCCCAGTTCTCGGGCTCCGGGAGGAAGGCCAGGAGCTCAGGGTGACTCACCGAGGGGAGGACCGGCCTCTTCGACCCACGCTGCTGCCAAGGCGAGGCCTGAGCAGACGGGCCCCTGGTGCTGCTGGGACCCAGTGCTCACCGGCCCTGGGAAGGGGTCTGGGGAGGGTCTTCATCCTCCCTGCAGAGAGTCAGAGCCTGGCTGGCGTGGCCAAGGGAGGGGCCGGCGCTGGGCACAGCAGCTCTGGGGGTTCCCACGAGCTTTGCCACAGAGCCTTGGCCACGTGGTGACCTGACTTCTCTTCGCTTTAATTTTCTCCCCAGTCAAGTGTGCATGATTTTAATACTTCCTTCCTCAGAAGGTTGCTGTGAGCATTCAAGTATGTCATTGCAGTAAAGCGCTCAGCACACGGCTGCCCATTCTTCCTTCTTTCGTTATTGCAGGCATACATGAAAACTCAGATATGGAGAGAGACAGAGATATGTGTGCCACGGTGTATTGAGATATATCCACATTTATTCCTATCCATCTGTCCGCCTGTCCATCTGTCCTTCCAGTCATCAAGCCATCCACCCGTCTATCCGTTCCTCCCTCTCTCCCTCCCTCCCTCCCAAGCACCTCCTCCTAAATCCCAGCTCTGTCCCCATCTGTGGGCTCACATCATACACAAAGGCTTACAGTCTACAGGGGCCAGAGATAGACCTGAACCAGTAAAGCCACATGCAGTGTGTCTATAAGTGGAAAGTTCTTTGGAGAAAAACAAAGCAGGGTAAGAGCAGGATAAAGGCAAGAGAGGGAGAGACAGACAGACCGCAATGGACAGGGTACCCGCTGTAACTGCGAGGGAGGAAGGTGGCGGGGCCGGGTGAGGAAGCCTCGCTGAGGTGGTGACAAGAGAGTGGAAGCCTGCAGGAAGTGAGGAGGGAGCCCTGCAGGTCATGGGGCAGAACCTGCCAGAGAGAGAGGCACTCGAAAGTGCAAATGCTTCAAGACAGGAGTGAGCTGAGTGGGTCTGAGACACAGAACATTCCAGAAGTGAGACTGGGGCGGCACGAGCAAGGGGGAGTCTGTTGTAGGGAGTGAGGTCAGGGGGATGGTGGGCAGATCAGGGAAGCCTTTCAGATGATGTCTGGAATTGCTAATGAATTTCAAAGCAAATATCAAGAACCGGGTCCTAACGTGTCGCATGTGTGTGCTGAAGGTGTGGGCTGACGTCAAGTGCAAAAGGAGAAAGTGCATTCTAGCAAAATGAGTCTCATGGAATAGTTGGTTTGCCCATCCTACACAGTAAAGAGCTAATATGCTAATTAGACTGAACAGCAGAAGGACTGTCTGGACGACCTGCCGGACGATGCTGGGGCTGCAAGGGCCAGCCAGGGCTGCGAGGGCCGAGCCCCTTGCATAAATTTTGTGCACCAGGCCACTAATCCTTTCATAGAAATACAGTAATCAAATTCTCATTTGCCTTTCCCATCCCTTGATTCAGGAAAACAAACGTGTTGTTAGGAGAAAACGCATCCAAATGACTCGGAAACTCTTACGGGAACATGACATTTGCCGTCAGGTTTACAGGGGTGATGGCGGCTCCACATTTAGACGTGACAGCAGGTGAAAAGGTGGGCAGAGCATGTCCCAGCTTGTCACCGTGAAATCAGAAAGCCTTGCTCGAGTGTCCTCACGGCGACTTCTTTTCTTCTGTCCACAGCCCAGCGATCCGCCCACGAGCTGCCCATGGTGGAGAGACAAGACATCGACAGCTGCCTGGTGTACGGGGGCCAGCAGATGATCCTCACGGGCCAGAACTTCACGGCCGAGTCCAAGGTCGTGTTCACGGAGAAGACCACAGGTAGGCCCCTTCGGCTCGTGCGTGTCCCCTGGCCATGCGAAAGCCACACCTGCTGGTTCTAAGCAGCATTGATTGTGGGTGGATATCATCGTGTAGACTTGCACATTCTGCCCTTTTCCCTCACCGGGATAAGTCCCCCATGTCTCTAGTGATTTGGATGTTGACACAGTTCATCACTGTGCGAATGTGCCGTAATGTGTGTTAGCTGATCCTGGGCTGTTTCATTAAATGAGAAGGTTGTCCCCTGCCAACCCCAAATCTTTAAAAAAAAATTTTTTTTTTCTTTCCACATAGAAAGGTATACTTTTTCAACTTCTTACTATTATCAAGAAGGGAGGCCAGACAGCATGGTGATTAGTGTGCCTGTTCTGGGCCTGGGCATCCTTGGTTCACATCTGGCTCTGCTACTTGCTTGCTGTGTGATCTTAGGCAAATTACCTACCCTCTCTGTGCCTCCATGTTCTTATGTATGAAATGATAATAACAGAGGGTTGTCACAGGGTTAAATGAGTTGGTACATGATGAGTAATTATAACAGCACCAGGTATATCGTAAGCCGATACACATTGGCTCTTATGTTTAATTATAAATCGTGTTGCGATTAATCTTCTTATACTTTGAAGATTAATTAATCTTTTTGACACAAATCTCCATGTGCATTTTGTTTATGTATGGTTTATTCCTAGCAGTGGAATGCTGGAGAGTCATTTTGAGGATTTTAAATGCAGATTGCTAAGCTACCTTCCAGAAATGTACAAATTGAAACTTCCACCAATACCACATCAGAACTGGTTTCCCCCTTCCCAGAAGTGCCATTTTAAAAAATTAAAACAATTCACTGAATTGGTACTTCTTCTTATTTTGCATCCTTTGCTCTGAGAGGTTTAATGTTTCTGTTTATTGGCCGTGTTGTAGCCTTTCTTGCCTACATGGTCTGGTAATGTGTTTTGCCCATGAGGGCGAGGCAAAGAGAAAATGATGGGAAGCAGGAAAAGTATCAGGTTATGCAATTATTGGGTAGTTGTGGATGGCAGACCTAGTTCTTTTCTTCTAGTGGACATGATTTCTGTAGGTTAATTCAAAGGGTATTGGTGCTTGTTTCTTGGTTTATTGCGTTTAGGATGATGCAGAGAATGTAGCAGGCAGGTTGTTCCGTTGTGGGCTTGTGCACTGCCCAGGGCACCTACTCTGGGGGCTGCCCTTCAGCCTGGATGCATCGTGAATCTGTGTATCATGAAGACACCTGCTGACAGAGAAAGCAGAGTGTCTGGGAGGAGGCCAGCTTCTTCCCTCTTCCCACAAAGCTTCCTCTTGGGGCCCTGAGGATGGGCCCTGAGGACGGGTGGGTGTGGGAGTGGGTTAGAAGGCCCGTGATCGGTCAGCGGTGGTGTAGTGAGGGGTTAGGAACGCGGACATTGAAATGGAAGCATTGCTTTCTAGTATGTGTTTGTTCAACACCATCTTTATTCCCCTTTCATTGGGCATTAGGCTGCTTCCAACTCTGTGCTGTTACAGGTAGCTCAGTGATGAGCGTCTTCTGCATTCGTTTTGTCAGTTAGATAGGAACTCGCTCTTTAGCCAGTCTGCTTGTGTTCAAAACCCAGCCCCACTACCTTCTAGCTGTGTGACCTTGGGCAAGTTACTTTCCTCTCTGGGCAACAATGTCCTCATCTGTACAGTGAGGATGGTGACAGTCCTACCTCATCGGGTGGTCGAGAAATTAGGAGTTCATCATGTTCAGTGCTTATAAAAGGCTTGGGATATAGAATGTGCGTGGTATGTTAGCTAATGCTCTTTCCTAGATGTGGAATAGTGGATTCAAGAGGGCACGCACTTTTCAAAGTGTCCTGGGGGACGCTTGTTTTCCAGGTGGTGGGAAAATGTAAAATGTTTTCTATAGCAACAATTTGTAAGGCCCTGCTGAGTCAGAGGGCAAGCCAATTTGCCGAAGTAGAGGCCGTTTAACATGGGGAACTGCTTTGCTCCGCGGGCAGAGGCCAGAACACAGAGGTCTTCCAACGCCAGGTACAGACATAAGCTTGCTTTGGTCTGCCCCCAGGTAAAGTAATAGGGAGCCATGCTGGTTCTTGAGCAGGAGAGTGCTATGAGGTTAGCCTCTTCGGTTCTGATGCCTCTCCTGTAGCAGGCGCCATCCTGTTCGCCTTCTGCTGACTCTCACAAGAAGTGTATGGCTTCAAAATGCCTTATTGGTGGAGGGAAAATGCTAATAACATACAGATGTCTTGTTATCGGTGTCCAGGTTGGTAGTTCCTGTGGGGCGGGGGTGGGGAGGGGCAGTGGAACTGGGTAGGGATGACTCAGATGCCAGGTGCTGCACGTTCCCCTCGGAGTTAGGGGCCAGCCAGCTTTCAGTTGTCCGGGAGCTCATGAGTGAGTGAGTGAATGAATGAATGGCATTTACTCTCAGGCTTTTCTTCTCTTGGCCTGGAGGAAATTTCACAGTTTACCTCTTAAAGAGAGGAAAACTCAGAGCCCACTGCATGTTATAAGAGTAATAGTAACAGCTCCCTGTGATTGAGTACGTCTGTGGGCGGGCCCTTCGCCTGCCACTCTCCCCAGGTTGTCCTCTCTAACCCAGCACCTGTGGGAGGCAGACGGCAGAGAAGTCAGGGCATTCACCTGAGATCATACCCAACATTGTCCAGTTTTTCTACCTTCCTGGGCCTCAATTTCTGTCTCTGTAAAATGAGGTAGCAACAGTCCCTTCCTCCTGGAGTTAATTGCAGAAATGAACAAGGTGAGCTCAGTGCATAGGGAGTGCTCATGGAATGTCTGCTGTTCTCTCATGGTCTGTCCGGTGTTACCAGAGCTCAGGCCATACACAGGGTTTATTCGACACACACTGCCCTCGGCGTTGGCCCTGGGTGGGCAGCTGTGGGCGGCTGCAGGCTGTGGTGGTTACGGGCACAGACTCTGAGGTCAGACGGCCTAGTTCAATCCATGATCTGAGTTTAGCAGCTTTGGCATCCGGGTAAGTTGCTTCACCTCTCTGAGCCAGTATTTCCTCTTTTGTAAAATACAGATGATTTACTTCTCTTGAGAGATGAGGGGATTAAATGAGATCATAGAGCTTGGCACATTGTAGATGCTCATTAAATGTTAGCTTCTATTATTATCATTACATTTAGTTGATGGAAGGGCAAAAGGTAAGATTTTAGCTCATGGAACTGAGAGACATTGAAAAACCATCATAAGTAATAATAAACTGTGTGCCAGGCCTTCTCCTAAGCATTTTATATATATTAACGGATCTGATTCCTCATGACAGTCCTACAAGGTAACCACTGCTCTCCCAATTTTACTAATGAGAAGCTGAGCACAGAGAGGCTACGAAACGTAGTGAAGATCACACAGCTGGTTAATGGCAGTGTTGGGTTTGGCCCTAGCCAGCCTGGCTCCAGAGTCTGTACCTTAACTGTTAGCTGTTCTGCTCTGAAACAGCTTAGAACCAGGTCAATTTGGCTGAAGACCTTCTTCTAGCTGCTCTGAGCCGCTGACTTGGGCCATTTGGTGGTGAAATCAAGTAGTGACTTCTGCAGTGGGTCTCTGGGGTTGAGAGGATGCAGTTCGTGAAAGTCTAACTAAAGAATCCTGGATGCATGTGGTTCCTGGACTGGTGCCAGCAGACCCCGGGAGTGTCTGAGACACCCCCTCAGCCCTCCCCCCAGGAGTGGTGGGCTGCCCTGGTGGGATGTCTGGCTCCTGGTGGCTGTGACAGACACGGGGCTCGCCTTGTGTCTGCAGGGACCTGATTCTGCTCTTTTGACCCCAAGAACTCGCCTCCCAGCCCGGGGCTGCCTTCTGCAGGGGGAATCCCTGTTGCTCAACTTCTTTTTTCCAAAACGCATCCCTGCTCCCATCTCCATGGACAGCTTGGCCGGCGAAGGCGCTGCGGGGCGGGGTGGAGTGGAACAGCCGAACTTTTCCAAGGAAGGGGAACCCCAGCTGGTTCTCACATTAAGGAAAGGTGACAGCCTCCTGGACTAATCTTAGCCCCCACGTTGGGTCATCAGCACCACCGGCTCCAGCGTTCTTTTTATAGCCGTGGCTGAAATGGAATTGGTGGTTTCCACTCCAGCACGATGACAAATTGGAGAGCGGTGGAAAGACAGAAGGAGAGGGGCAGCATGGGGCTCCTTAAGTTGGAAGAGCTCGGTGTTTTGGAAAAAGGCCCCTTATTTATAGCAGCACGATTAGTATTATGATTAATATTTTATTACTAATTGTAATTATTTTCAGGGCTTCTCAGAGCCTGGCCCTCACCCATCACCTCCGATTTCAGCTTTTTCGACCTCCTCCTTGCTTACTTGGCTGCCGCGGCGCTGGCTTCATTCTGTCCCCACACAGCCCAAGCTCGTTTCTGCCTCAGAACCTTTGCTTTCGCTCGCTCTTCTTAGAATGTCCTGCCCTCATTTCTTTATGAAGCTCGCCCTCCTCTCCCTTCAAGCCTCCGCCCCTCCTAGCCCATCTGCTCTGAAGCCGGTCACCCCCCCTCCCACCTGTCAGCTCCTGTCCCATTGTCCTGCTCTGTTTTCTCGGTGGCACTTAGCACTACTGAAACGACCTTGTCTGTTCGGTCTCCCTCGCTAGACTCTTAGTTCCTTGAGGGCAGGGACTTGGTGTTTGCTACTGTGTCTGCAGCATCTAGAATAATCCCTGGCACACAGTCGGTGCTCACACATATTGCTGAGTGAATATGTCACTTCTTTTCACTGTCACACCAGCCCTGAGAGGTGGGTGGCATTATCCCCATTTCACAGATGATGTAACTGAGGCTCGTAGAGGTCAGGTCACAGGGCCCCAGTTCAGCTCACAGCTGGAGACAGAGCTGGAATCTCAAGCAACATTTATCACCAACCCCCTGAGCAATCTCTCTAATCATATCGCAGAGGACAAGAGAAACCAGACAGAACCACCAGGGTATTTCCCATTTACCATTCCCACCGCTGGCTGAAAAGCCTTTCTATATTCTCCGAAAT